TACATCGGACTAGCATAGGCTCTGATATCATTTGTAACAACTCAAGTTCAAGTATCGACTTAGCAACTTTTCGAGCATAAACGACATGGCCTTTAAAAGCTCAAGTTGCTAGTAGTAATGGACTTGGATTGTTATATGGGTCTTAACAATCACATTCATATCAAATGTGTGATGTGAGGTATCACAATCTCACCCATTCAAATCCTCGATATCCTCATCAAGGCCATAAATCATCCACAAGAAATCATTCACAAGACCAATTCATAGGATCAAGATCTCACCAGAGCAATGTGGAAGCCCACATTGGACTAGCGTAGGCTTTGATACCATTTGTAATGACCGAAGTCCAATAATTGGTCCAACAGCTTTTCGAGCCTAAACCACGTGACTCTCAAAAGCTTAAGCTCAAGTTGTTAATAGCGATGGACTTGGATTGTTATATAGATCTAAACTATCACATTCACATTTGATTTGGGATATGGGGTATCACAACCTTTCAAAAAGAGCTCGAATTCTCCTTCTCTCAAATGACCTAGTGTTCAAAACATTAAACTTGAGGTTGAATCTGGTTCAAAACCAAACTTTCATATTCATGATAATGGCTTTTTGAGGTTTGTGATAACTCTATTATATAGAGTTATTTTGACACATTTTGGGGGCTTAAGTTGCTAGATCTTTGAGATTTTAGATTCGAATTTTAGCGTTTTAGGTGTTTTTCTAGTTTAAGTTTGATTACTTGTTAAATGATTAATTTAAGTTATTTTAGGTAAATTTTATGTTGTTTTGTTTTAAATTCTTTAAGAGTAGTTATTGCTAATTTCTCTTATGGCTCTTGTAGGAAATTGATGAAAAAGGCTCATTTGATGAAAATCAGTGCAAGTATGGCGATGACTTCGTTCATATATGTTTTGGTATTTTGACCATATCTCTCTCTAAACAACTCCAAATGAGGTGATTCTTAGACCACTAGAATTATAAAAGAAGGACTACAATGTTTATTTTATCAATTCACCTAGTTCTGATTGGATCATGGTTAAAATATTTGTCAAAGTCAGAGCACTGTAGTAGTATGCAAGGACTAAACATGATACGGTATTTAGAGCATATCTTTCAATCCAAAAGTCCAATTGATGTGATT